AGTTTCCACAACTTACTTTGGTTTCTCTCGAGGTGTGTTGGAGGTGTTCCACGGGCCTTCTCGGGACTGTTAGAGGATTTTAGGGCTCCCCCGATGGCCTATTTTCAAACTTAAGTGTTTAGGAAGTGCATTTTTTTACTTAGTTTTCAAACCGGGAGTCCAAAGCGAGTTCCGTCCGGTGGTCCTATTTCCAAGCTTAAGTGTGGAAAAAGTGTCTCTTTCCAAGTTAGTTTTCATTTCGGGAGTCCCGAGCTAGTTTTGTAAGTTTTCACAACTCGCGTTGGTCACTCCCGAGGATTTTTGTGGTGTTCCCGGCCCTTTTTGCTGCTGTTACATGATTTTGGCCCCCCGATGGCCTACTTCCAAGCTTATGGGTTAGAAAAGTGTATTTTCCGACCTAATTTTCAAATCGGCAGTCGCATGCCTGTTCGTTATGTTTTCACAACTCAAATTGGTCCCTCCTGAGATGTTCGAGGTGTTCCCCGGGCCTTCTCGTCACTGTTACACGATTTCGGCCCGCCAAGAACTATTCTCAAGCTTAAGTGTGAAAATAGTACCTTTTCCAACCTCGTTTTCAAACCGGAATTCCCGCGCTAGTTCCTTAATTTTCCACAACTTACATTGGTTTCTCGCGAGATGTTGGAGGTGTTCCACGGGCCTTCTCGGGACTGTTAGAGGATTTTAGGGCTCCCCCGATGGCCTATTTTCAAACTTAAGTGTTTAGGAAGTGCATTTTTTTACTTAGTTCTCAAACCGGGAGTCCCAAGTGATTTCCGTAAGTTTCTATAACTCCCTCCCTGGGTGTTTAAAGCAGTGTTCCCCAGTCCTTCTCTTGACTGTCACACGATTTTGGGCCCCACCCGATGGACTATTTTTAAGCTTAGGTGCGAGAAAAGGATCGTTTCGGACTTAGTTTTCAAACCGGGAGTCTGGTACTAGTTCCGTAAGTTTTCACAACTTACATTGGTCCCTCCCGGTGTGTTTGACGTGTTCCCCGGGCCGTCTCGTGACTGTTACACGATTTTAGCCCCCTACGGCTTATTTTCGAGCTTAAGTGTGAAAAAAGTGCATTTTTTTTTTTAGTTCTCAAACCAAGAGTCCCGTGCTAGTTCCGTAAGGCTCCGCAACTTACCTTGGACCCTCCTAAGGTGTTTGGGGCATTTCCCGGTCATTCTCGTGATTGTTACAAGGTTTTGGCATCCCCCTCCGGTGGTCCTATTTCCAAGTTTAAGTGTGGAAAAAGTGTCTCTTTCCAAGTTAGTTTTCATTTCGGGAGTCCCGAGCTAGTTTCGTAAGTTTTCACAACTCGCGTTGGTCACTCCCGAGGTGTTTAAGGTGTTCCCGGCCCTTCTTGCGACTTTTACATGATTTTGGCCCCCCGATGGCCTATTTCCAAGCTTTAAGTGTTAGAAAAGTGTATTTTCCGACCTAGTTTCCAAATCGGGAGTCCCGCGCCTGTTCGTTAAGTTTTCACAACTCAAATTGGTCCCTCCTGAGATGTTCGAGGTGTTCCCCGGGCCTTCTCGTCACTGTTACACGATTTCGGCCCGCCAAGAACTATTCTCAAGCTTAAGTGTGAAAATAGTACCTTTTCCAACCTCGTTTTCAAACCGGAATTCCCGCGCTAGTTCCTTAATTTTCCACAACTTACATTGGTTTCTCCCAACACCTCAAACACCTCTACAGGAACCAATGTAAGTTGTGAAAACTTACGAAACTAGCTCGGGACTCCTGGTTTGAAAACTAAGTTGGAAAGACACACTTTTTCCACACTTAAGCTTGGAAATCGGACCACCGGGGGTGCCAAAACCGTGCAACAGTCACGAGAAGGACCGGGAAATGCCCCAAACACCTCGGGAGGGTCCAAGGTAATTTTCGGAGACTTACGGAACTAGCACAGGACTCTCGGTTTGACAACTAAATGAAAAAATGCATTTTTTTCACACTTAAGCTTGAATAATCCCGTGCCTATTCGTTAAGTTTTCATAACTCAAATTGGTCCCTCCTGATATGTTCGAGGTGTTCCCCTGGCCTTCTCGTGACTGTTACACGATTTTGGTCCGCCGAGGACTATTCTAAAACTTAAGTGTGAAAATAATTCCTTTTCCGACCTAGTTTACAAACCCGAAGTCCTGCGCTAATTCCGTAAGTTTCCAACACTTACATTGGTTTCTCCCGAGGTGTTGGAGATGTTCCACGGGCCAAAATCCTGACTGTTACAGGATTTTGGGGGCCCTCCGATGGCCTATTTTCAAACTTAAGTGTTTAGGAAGTGCATTTTTTGACTTAGTTGTCAAACCGGGTGTCCCATGCGAGTTCCATAAGTTTCCACAACTCGCGCTTTTCACCACATAGAGGTCTCTAACTCTACGACCAGTCCCAATCTACTACTTGGACATTCGATCCTGCACAGAACAGATAGAAGAAGAAAAGATAACATCAAAACTGGAAACATCAAGCTGACTGACAGATAATAAATTGACAGATAACTGAGGAACATAGATGACAGATGGAATAGAAACAGCAGACATAGTAGACAGTAAGACAAACCCAATAGATATAACAGACATATCAGACTCATTAGTAGCATTAACAGTAATAGGAAGGGGAGGAGAAGTTCAATTTTGAGGTAAGAAGAAATGGTGAGTCATATGGTGAGAGGCACCAGAGTCAAAAATTCAGATAGACGAAAAGATACCTGAAGAAGACCCAAGCAAACCTAAATGAAGAGAGGAAACAATGGAGGCAGACGGTGATAGTTGGGAGGTAGACAGTATATGCTAAAGCTGACTAATCTAAGTAATCAAGGAAGTCAGGTCAGGATCAGAAGCCAGAGCAAATGCAGTAGAACCGGTGGGAGGCTGAAAAATATTCGGAGGAGGGGCACAAAATTGGATTGGAAATTGCTGAGAAGAAAAAGGCAAACATACATCCCTTCTTGGGACAATGATACTTCTAATGACCCCTCTGATGGCAGAAGGCACACTCATCAAAAGCCAAAGACATTGTAATAACCAGAGAGGTGAGGGGTTCGAGTGTAATAAACTAAGAACTGATGAGTCAAAACATATAATAATTCCAAACAACTAGAACCAGATCACACAATATGATACACACACTGGTACTGATGTAGTCGAAGTGTAATAAGGACAAAACCTGGTGGACTAAGATCAGAGAACCAATACAAAGAGAGAGAAAGCGCTTAGTGACCAGAGAACAGAGACGAGACCAAAGACGAAGAGCTAGGGAGCTTCGTCAATACCAACAACAAAGCAGAGAGCTTCAATCGAAACGCAATCCTGAGAGATTACGAATAATAGAGACTGAGACTGAGACCCCAAAGCTGAACCCAGATGATGTCACGACTTCGCTAAGGCAGAGACAGATAACGAACCAAAAAAAAAATCAGAGAGTCAAAGACTCGTGATCGTGATCAGACCTAAAGAGAGGGAGTCGTGATTGAAATCTGAACCAGAAAAAGAGATGTAAGCTTTAGGCGAGTTTGACGAACCAGAAATCCCACTTACGCAGTTCGATTATGAACCACGTGAGCCGATGACGCTGACCAGATGAACTAGAACTTCAAACCAGATAGAACAAGGAAGAGAGAGCTTCAACCGACCATGATAATCGTGAATTGAGAGAGAGAGAGAGAGAGAGAGAGAGAGAGAGAGAGAACTAAATCAATTCGTGATTCAGAAACCAGAAGAAGAATTCATGAATCAAGCGGCTAGGGTTACGAACGTAGCTCTGATACCATGTAAGTTTCTGAATAAACTTGTATATTCAATTGTATCTTATTTACAAAGAGTTTATCAGTTTGTATAACCCTAAACCTATGATTGAAAAGGGAAAAACAACCAATTCAAATATTTATATCACAATCTTTCCTAATTCCTAATATACACAATCATGCCAAATTGAGAATATACACAATATATTCTCACAACTTAGCCAAGGAGTTTGAAATCAAAGACTTGGGTAATTTGAAATATTTCTTGGGCGCATCTTCATATGCCAGAGGAAGTATGTACTTGACTTGCTAAAGGAAACTGGAATGCTTGGGGGTAGACCATGTGATACACCTCTAGAACTGGGCCAGAAACTAATTGAAGATCAAGGGAGAGAGCCAGTGGATAGGAGGAGATACCAGAGGCTAGTGGGCAAGCTCATATACTTATCTCACTTGCGTCTAGACATTGCCATTGCAGTAAGCATTGTTAGCCAGTTTATGCATGCTCCTAGAACTTCCAACTTAGAGACAGTTATAAGAATTCTGAGATACCTGAAGACTTCTGCTGCAAAGGGTCTCTATTTCTCGAAACATGGATATCTTGGTATGAAGGCATTTACTAATGCGGATTGGACTGGATCAGTTAGTGACAGACGATCAACCTCTGGATATTGCACATTTGTTGGAAGCAACTTCATCACATGGCAAAGTAAGAAACAGAATGTGGTTGCTAAATCTAGTGCTGAGGCAGAATTCAGAGCTATGACACAGGGTGTATGTGAGTTGCTATGGATTAGACTATTGTTGGAAGACTTAACAATCCATCAGACTGATTCCATGAGATTGTACTGTGATAACAAAGTAGTATAGACGTCCCCGAACGTCCCGGGAAAATCCCATTTTGTTCATTGGGCTCATTACAGTTCGGACTCAATGTCACGGTTCTGAATCTAATCTCGCAAAGTGCAACGCAAGATCGATAAATCACCAAAGAGTCCAAATCCGACAAATCGTTTTGAAAAACTGATTTTAGAAAGAAGTGCCAAACATGGACTACTTTGCCGGATACTGAGTTGCCACCTAAATATTTTATTTTGGGAAAATTTAAAAAATCCTGACTCGTGCCTAAGGCCACATGTCCGTCATCACCAAAGTTGTCTCGGCTCGGGAACTTGGGTACGATTGGGGGGAAGGTCATTTTATGAGCACCCCCGCTCGCCCGATCAAAGATCGGCCACTACTAAGCATGATATCTTGTTTTTGAAAACACATGTGCTCTTATTTCGGTTATTAACCTAGAATTACTATGTGATGCGCACAGCATACAAGTATAGACTAGATTGCCTAAGTTGGAACAAAGCATCGCATATCCGTTTGTTTTGAAAATGGATTGAAGTTTGCTACTCGCAAGTAGGCTAAAACACGGGTTTCGACGAATTATTCCAATTCAAGCAACCCAACCTTCACCCACAGGCATTCAGGCAGTTATATCACATAAGCACATAACCTCATGGTAAGCATACTATCATGGCAGTCACTCACACGCATGCAAGGATGCTAAAGCATAAACACTTACCGAGTACTTCGAGCCAAAGAAAGAAGCTAATTAGAAAACATGTATGAATCCTAACTATGCTGAGATGCCTAATGCAACGCATGCAAGAATGTAACTAAGATAGGCTCGGCTATTCTAAGATGGCATATGAGATGCTACAGGTAACATGTATTCAACTTGGAATGGAAATACGATGCAGTTAGTATGATGCGCCGAGCCCGATGCATGCAAAACAGATGAATGGATGCAAACATACGAGCATAAGGATGCTAATTGAAACGTGCCTTAAAACTAACAATCATAAGCTAGTAAATAAAAGGGAGAAAAACGTGGGGTTGGAAAACACATCACACACACACACGCACACGCACACTTATTACAACATTGCCCTCCTCGGAGGGTCCGAATGAATAATACACAACCAACTAGCTAATCTGAGCTAATTAAACTAATTATTACACAACCCAAATGAATAATGAATTACAGCTAATTATTACACAATACTAGCTAATTAACAAATTTAACTAAGGAAGCAAATAAACTAGCATGCAAGCTACATGAAATGGATTGCCTCAGCTCTGCCTTGAATGATAAAGGATTCATGCATGCCCGAGTCGCCTTGTCGGGAAATCCATCGCGATGCCTCGACTCGCCTTTGTTTGCAATTGATTTCAAAAAGTTGCACGAGGCTCCAGAGAGATGAAACTCCACCCAGGGAAGCTGTGGGAAGGCTGCCGACCAGCTATGGGCAAGGGAGACCACCTGCCGACCACCCTTGGTGGTGAAGACCAGAAAGGGTGGTCGACCTGCCAGAAAACCTAGTCGGCCAACCAATTCATTCTCCTGGTTTTTGCTTTTTCTGTAACAAAGGCAAGAGAGAGAGAAGGCAAGGTATTTTCAACATATGTGTGCCCGACTATTCTCCCCATCATTGCATAAGCTCTAGGGAGTGTAGTCCTCGATCCTCGGGCCACCAATCACGCATCCCGATGCATGATGGCCGAGGAGTCAAATTGCACGACTCAATGGGACATGAATGCACATATAAGCAATTAAAACCAACAACTCCATCATGGATAGTCAAGAGTGTCGGCGACCGGAAATCGAGGCACGTTTCATCACTTGGAGTATGAAACGTTTCTCGTTTCCCATTTTTGGACTAACTCCTACTCCAAACACAATGCAACAAGTAGAATGGCATGGCATGTACAAATGCAACTCTAGTATGCAATCCTAAATGTAATGCGACTAAGTGATGCAAACATGCAAAGGATGACATGCAAGCATGCAACTAGCATACACAATGCTATGGACTAATCAAGGGCATGCTCAATGCACGTGGATTATATGGCATACATACACAATGCGCTAACATACGCAATGTTATGAACGAGACATACGCAATGCAATGATCGAACATGCTATAGCATGGACTATATGGCATACACAATGCAAGATGGACTTAAGCCAAGATGGATGGACCTCAGCAGCACCCAAATCAGTGGCCATACATGATGAAAATGAGGCAACAAAACACATGCAAACATGCAAGATGCAAGGGCCCAAAGCCTAGGGCACAAGATACAACTGTATGAAAGCATGGAAAGGATGAAATATGGCATACAACAACACATGTTCCAGCTCTGAAATGACATACAAAATGGTCCCGAATCACGCAAACAACTCACACAATGCATATTGGGAGGCCCAAATATCGAAACTAGTGAAGCACATTACACTAGAGGTATGCAAAGCGATACTCAAATGACCAAACCAACCCCAAACAGTCCCTATGCAGGCCCAAAACAGTAGCAAAATGGACTAAGATGATGGTTTGAAACGTACAAAAATGAAGCTCATGCAATGGTCCATAAATGAGACATACAAGCACAACTCTCAAACGCATTTAAAGAGTGATAAACATGGGAATATGGCAACCTTATACGCTCTGAAATAACATGCTCAATGATGCTAAGACATGGAAACACCTCAAGTTAAGCAGGCAAGGGCCTCCAAAACTCAAGGCATCATTCGACCAAGAGGCCTCAAAACAGAGCTAAGGCAACCCAAAAGATGAAAAAATTAGTTTGAAGTATGGCCAAAATATGCTAGAATCGATGGCCAAAATAACATGCAATGTAAGCTAGTAAGCATGGTTTACACTACAAGCATGTAAAGCATTCAAGAGGCCACTAAACCAGCCAAAGACAGAGGTATGACATGCCAAATAATGACCAAAAACCCACTGAAACATGACCAATGCATGCAAGAATGACATGCTCCTTTGATAAGCTATGAAGACGGTTATTCCACACATGCAAGAGGCGAACCCTAGAGGACAACACCAACTCTGGACAAAGCCTAGGCAGGCCCTAAAAGTCACCAAAAGGGGCCTGAACCATGGCTTGGAAGTGTGAAAACAAAGGCTCCTTTGTAAGGCCAAAAATGCTAGTAGACAAGACAAGGAGAGAGAGGGTCACCCCTCTCTAATTTTGGCCCTCAAAACCACATACCAACCACTAAAAATCCGCTGGATTTCAGTGGCTAAAGGGCCAAGCAAAGGTCAACACAAAGGCCCTAAGGCATGACTCAAAACAAGGCAAAATAGAGCATGCAAGGGGGGTAGATGACTCCCAACAACAAAATGGCCTTAAACAAACATGAAAAACACTTAAAAATGAAGCTTTTCTCAGTTGACAACGAAGCCTAAATATGCATGCAAATAAGGCTAAGAGAAGGATCAAAACAGAGCTTAAAAAGGAAGAATATCAGTTACCCTTGAAGCTCAACAAAAACCAGCAACTTCTGGACCCAAAACACAGCTCCTTAACCTCTGAAAATGGCCTCCAAGAACCTTAGGTTGATGGTGGAAGTGTTAGGCTATGAGGTGGTGTGCAAAGGGCCAAGAATCACACACTTTGGAACTCAAAATAGTGAGATATAGAGAGGGATATATTCTTGCCTTAAACAAATTTTTTTGGAACCTAGTATAAGGAGAGAGAGGCCCTCTCTTACAGAGGAGCAAAGGTTCAAGCTTCCTCAAGAAGCTAGAGCAAAGATTCAAACTTTCTCAAGAAGCTAGAACAAGGATTCAAGCTTCCTCAAGAAGCTAAAGCAAGGGTGCAAATCCTCCATACATAATCTGTGCCTTCCAGCTGGCACCCACTCAAACAGACAAAACAAGAGGAAAGGGGCCGACCAGAAAAGGTGGTCGGCCGACCATTTCCCCTGGTCGGCCGACCAAGGCAAGTGGTCTCCCACACAAAAACTGGTCGGTGGCTCCATTTGGTGGTCTCCACTTTGAAAGCAAACTAGTGGTGTGGTGGGAAACCAGCAAATGTGGCCCAAAGACTAAGAAAACCAGCTTCCCGACAAGAAAACTGGCTGGCGGGGAGAAAGTGGTCTCCAAGGAGAAAAGGTGGTCTCCCACCCTTGTACCACCTCCCAAACAAGAAAAACAAGATTCATGCCAAAAATGAACCAACACGGATGCAAAACGAGAGTTCGAGGGGCAAAACGTGCGGCCGGGTGCCCCGAAAACTGACTATTGAGCACCAAAAGTGGCATACGGCCACAGAAGTGGTCTCCCGGACCACAGTGTCCCTCTAGACGGAGGAAACAAGGTGTGTCCCAAAAACCGTGCCAAACGAAGAATGTTAAACGGTCTCGAGCAGAGGCACACGGCCCCAAAAATCGAAAACTAGTCTCCAAACGGGAACAGTAGCCTACGACCACGAAAAGTAGTCTACGACCACTAAGAGATGGTCTACAAGACCTCTCCCTCCCTAGGGAAGAGAAAACAAGACCTGGTCCGCAAACCGAGTCAAAGCACAAAAAAAAGTTTCGAGACCCGGAGGCAAGGCTCTTAGCCGAGAACTTTGAAACTTCAGAACGAGCACAACATGCGCAATCACCGAGCGCTCAATCGATGACGTCTGAGTCTTAAGGTCAGTCAAAAATGGGGTATTTACAAGTAGCGATCAACATAACTCATAACCCAACATGACAGAACCAAGCATGTGGAGGTTGATAGGCGCTTCATAAAGGAAAAACTCACTAGTGGCACCATATGTACTCCATTTGCGAAGACAGAAGATCAACTAGCAGATGTTCTTACCAAATGAATAGGGAGCAAACCATTTCATGACATTCTCAACAAGCTAGGCATGAGAGATGTCTTCGTACCAGCTTGAGAGGGAGTATTAGAATAAGAAAATTATATTCACATATTTTATTCTGATTTGTTTTTATTCCTTGAATGATGTAATGGGCTATAATGAGCTGGCCAATAATTAGTGCCTTATAGCACTCCTGTAATTATGCTTTATTCTTAATATAAAAGGGAATGAGGTCTCACTCATTCCCTATCTCTTTCTCTTCTCTAAGCTTACACTTTCTCTTCTCTAAACTTACAAGGCAGTCCAACTAAACCACTACTGGAATAGACAATTCAATAGGGCGGATAAACAAAGCAAGTAGGGTGTGGGGAGCACAAAGCATAACCTAATGAATGCTACAATGGCATATGATGTAAGTACCATGCCTCGCATGAGAAAATGTAACTAATAGTTAATTTAGCAATGTACAGCACACCTTCTTTTTCTTTTTTTTTTGTGTGTGTGTGTGTGTGTGTCTTTTTTGTGATGTGTAATATAATGCACACAATCCTTATAAGCACAATACTCATAAACATATTTCCATGAACATACCTACTCCCCATAAACTAATGAAAATTCCACAATAAAATGAGGGTACAACAATCTTACAACACTAAATACCAATGCATGACGAGATAAGTTTTTACATAATCTATAAGTCTCCTTTAGAAAGGTAAACATCATCATCAAAATAGTCTTCCAACTCATACTAAAGTTAAAAGGACTTGCACATAAATTGAAGACAAAATTTCATACTTGTACTCCGCACGGACAGACAGGTTGTGGTTGGTTTGTAGTTGGTTGGATTTCCTTTTATATGTCAATCTTGATGTATTACCAAGTGAATTGCACTTTGTGGACCAAAGTTCATGTGATTTGAGATGGGATCCACCTACACCAGAATCAGAACAATTAACCATTATAAACACTCATCTACACCTCAAATGAAAGAAAACATAAAGAATGTCTCGTAAGAAAATTTTCTTAAAGTATCAAGAATAATCTAGTTCACAAGTAGACTACTTATGTATAAGTTTTGGGGCTTAGCATATGAGAGGTTTAACTTTCCTTTGCCCTAGAATTACTTTCAATGTAGACAATGTTACTCTTCATTACTAATGAAAGCTATTGGTATTCCTTGTACATGAACAAACCATCTCAGTCCATTTTCTTCTCATTCTATGCATATGCCGCTACCAATTTTTTTTTTTTTGAAAAATGCTTGGACCCTTTTTTTCAGACCCACAACTCCCTTTTGATCTTAACCATGAACGTATGTGTGGGATCCACTCATGTATGTGTAGGCCCACACCATCAATGATTGTGGGAGTCCCCCAAAAAAAGGTCTCAATCATTGTTGGTTTTTTTTTTTTTAGTACAATACATATGCTACACTTGTACCATCTCACGAAATCATTCGCTCCTAATTTACTTTCTTCATTTTACCACGCATCCATCCTGCCATGTTGAATAATAAACAGCAATGCTACGGACCAAGAAATTTTGTTAGCGAAAATTATCTTGAAGCCTTTTCCAGTCGACCTACCGATCAATCCTACACTTTTCTGGTCGTCCGGCGACAGCTTCGAGATATTTCGTGATACACTTATTTAGGGAATAACAAGAAAAGACAAAAACAAAAAACAGAGAGAATCAATGCAACGATTTTACATGTATGATCAACTCTCCACAGATGAAGAATAGAGAGTCTCCAAGGAATCGATCTCTAGAAATCGCTGTTTGAAACATAGAGAAAACACTAAAGCAATCACATAGGATGATTACTAGGTGTTATAAGTATGATATAATGCCTTCGTTAAAAGAGAAAAAAAGAAGAACATGGTTCATTTTGGAATTATTATTATTATTATTATTATTATTATACTAATAAATACATGAAGAACATAGAAATCAACAAAGACGCTGCAGCACTGTCGAAAAATTTCCGAATCAAGATTTGAAGAAATTACCTGAGATCGAAACAGAAGCGATGCTGATTGTCGCCATGGGTAAGAGAAGCAAATCCAATACCAGTCTGGGAGAGAGGGAGAGAGAGAGTGGTAAATGAGATTTGGGTGATGGCAAATAATCATATCAGTCCATTGAAACTGTTTATATTTATTTATTTTAAGAAATTACGTTAAATTGTTTAATACAATCTGAATTTATAATTTTTAAGGTACAAATAATTAAAATAAAAGTAATTATATGAAAATTGAAAAAATAATATTTTAAAATTTTAATTTTAGCTATTACTTTCTTTTAAAAAAAAAAAATAGAATACTTGGGTCAAAAGTCTAAAATTAAATTTCTTTTTTTTTCAAAGATCCATGCGTTAAACAACAATGTTTATACGAATAAGCTCTGTAAATTGACCAAACTACCACTCCATATCTTTTGTTCCTCTCACGCGTTGATTTTATCTCACTCTCATATCTCATATTTCTATCTCTATCTTTTTTCATCAATTCTCTCTCTTTCTCTCTCCTCTATTGCGTCTTCATCTTCGATGCCAAGCCACTGCTCATCTGCCGCATCCAGACCTTCATCCGCACTGGCGACCTCCACCATACCTCCATCGTCGCCCATAATTCCATTTTTTTCAACATCCGCACTACTGTCTTTACTGTCTTCTTTAGATCGTCGTTTGAGTCGCCGTGTAACAACCACCTTCTTGATTAATTAAGCTAATTAAATAATTGGTCTTGATTATGTGCTTATATGTTAATTATATGCCATGTGTTATTTGAATTGTGTCATGATGAACAAACGTGTATAGAATTTGAATTTGAATCTGTCTAAATTAGTAAACCATAAGGTTAGACTTAAATATTTGGAATGGGTGATTAGAGCCTGATTCAATGTGGTATGATTAAATTTAGTCTAACTTAAGCTAGAGTATAAGATAAATTATGAGAATTGAGTTAATTAAGTGAAACTAAATTTCCTTAAAGTCAATATAATTAATTGGGCTAAACTTACATCAAACTAGAATTTAGAAAGAATTAGTAAATTAATTACACTCTTTGAACCTACTCAATAATTAAATCTAAAAATAAAAAATAAAAAGATTAAGTGGGTTTGTTGGAGATAGAAACTTGTGAGAGAGGACAAAAGAGAGTTGGTGCTTTGTGTAGAGAATTCTAGAGCTTCAAAGAGGGAAATAAGAGAAGCTCAAGGGAAACATTGAAGTTAGGCTTGATCTTCACAAATTATCAACTTAAGGTAAGCTTTTCACTCAAATTTGTTGAAATTGAAACTTCTACACTCATCATCTTCTAAGATCTAAGTTTACTTAAGATGAATTCATGGTTAATTAGGAGCATTGGTGATGTATTGGAAAGTTTAGAACTTACATGTCTTGATATGGAAGACTCGAAGAAATTAACTCAAGATTAAGACTTGTGTGGCATTATTCATGTTCAAACACTTGTTTCTTGCTTGCTTTGTGGGACTTGAGGAGGAAACCTTCATGGATTTTGAGAAAAAGAACTCCAGTATGCATGAATGATGATTTTATATTTCAATTCTTGAGTTTGATCTTTTAAATGAAAAATTGGGTTTTGTTTTGAAGTCATGGTTTTAGTTTGAAGTTAGAAATTGTTCATTCAATATGAGTTTTGGGCTTTGAATTGCATAAAATTGAAGTTGAGAGTGCAAAGGTTGAGCTTCAAATTTGAAGCAGATTTTCGGACTGTACTCAACCCAGACTGCACATGCAGTCTGAGGCCCCACACGTGCGGCCAGCCTTCCCTTGCCTCACTTTGCATTTTGCTTTGGCTCCGCACGAGCGACCAGATCCACCGTATGAGCGACCAGGGCTACAGCACGTGCAATCTGTAGGGCAATCTCGATTTTGTTTTCTCTCCGTTTTATTTCTGACTTCCGAGCCTCCATTTGCATGGTTTTCATATGTATTTCAAGTTCATCTGCATATCATGAACACGAAAGAAATTAAAGAATGGATAGGAATAACTGAACAATTAGGTAACGAAAGAACCAATTGAATGAGTGAAATATGTTTAAAGACGTTGTGCTTGAATGTGGTGTGTAGGACATTTGCACGAGGAGTATCGTCCGACTAAGCACACTGAGTAACGTCTTTTTAAAGATATTTTTGTAGAAATCATTTTGAAATGGCTATGCTATACGATGTTTTATGAAATCTATGTTTTGTTTACGAAATGTCCAATGTGATAAGTATTTTCTGCAACATTAAGTTATGCTATGGAATTTCGAAATGATTATGATATGATAGGTTTTTGAAAACTTCAATTTGATGAGAATGAATGAGATCCCTTTTTGATCATCAAATGGGACATCCATGAATACATGCTTTGATTCACGGAACTCTCTGTTATGTTTAAGTTGATCCATTGTGGTCGTTATGTATACGTTGACTCGTTGTGGTTGTTATGTCTAAGTCGATCAATTATGGTCATTATGTCTTCGTCGATCCATTACGATCGTTATGTATACATCGATCCGTAGTGGTCGTTATGCTTATGTCCTCGGTCCTTTGTAGTCGTTTTGCTAATATTTTGTTTAGTATTATTGTACCCCAGAATGTAAGTAACTCGGAATGGTTGATGAACTTTATGAATTCTAAATGTGTATACATGATAAATGCTTCGTTTCGACACAAATGTTCTGTATAGAATTTTGTCAAAGGTTTAATAAAGCTTTTGGAAATGTACCACTCTATGTCTTAAACTATGAAAGGGTTAAAGGTTTGAGGAACTTTATTTCTAATTACAAGTATCCAGAAAATACTTTGATCATGTTAAAAACATTGTTTTGATTTTATAAGTTATGGATCTCATTCATTTAACCGCTTTACACTGACATTATTCACTAGGCTCTACCTTATTGTTTCATGTATGTAGGTGATCAAGTGCAAGAGTGGACTTAGTGGCGTCAACCTAAACTCTGTTTTGTCAAGCCAAATACCGTGCCTCATACAACTAACCTGTCACGTCAACAACCTATTGACAACGGAAAATTTCTAAATTTTAGCTCCAACAATATCTTATTCACATATTAATTCTATATAAAAAGAAAATACTATATATAAGAAAAATTTTAATCATATTTTCTTACTACACTAGACAAATACGAAGGCTCACATTAATAAATATACATATTTGGGTTCAAAAATTTTTAAAATAAATAATATTTAGGTTCCACTATCTTTAGTAGTAATAAATTGATGAGAAATCCTGTACAACATTACGAAAAAAATGTGCACATGGAAAATTTGAATCATTGAAAATTTTGCCCTCTCACTTTTATTTGCATAATGTGATTGATTATTTTGGTGATCTAGATTTTTGATAATTGTAATAATGTTGATAACATTAGTCCTATAGAAATTATTTTATTTGGTTTTGGTTTTCAAAATCTATTTTTTAGATTTAAAATAAAAAATAAAAACTAAAAATTAAAAACATTTATTATTTTTATATAATTTAAATTTTTTAGCAATGCTACATCTCTATAAATTTCTCATGCAAAAGCACTCCATAACAATTTCTTACTTACCCATCCAAAAAAACAATTTCTTACTAGTAAGAATTCACTGCTATAGAACCAATTAGACCCGACTTAGTTGGCCACCCTGACAATAAGGGCTTAGTACGTAGGGGGAGTTGAATCACCATGACTTTTCTAAGGGTTTAGTCCTTAGAGGGAAGTTATGGGTTCACCTCTCCCTAAGAGAGTTGAATTAAAAAGACAAACACTTGACACTTTACATAGGATAGAGAGGTTATCTCTTATAGGTGCTAATTTAATAATTCACAACTAACTTTCTTTGATAAAAAATCGTTGCTACAAAAAAATCACCGCTATAGACTGAAAATTTCTTACTGGTAAGAAATTTGTGGGGATTGATTTTCTTTATGTTTTTAGGCAAAAATAAATTTTAATTTTTTTAAAAAAAATCTGTTAATGTTTATTTTTATCAAATTAATTTCTATATGTTCTATTTTTTTTTTTTTTTTTTTTTAGTGATTTAGTGAAAAATGACCAAAAAAATAATTTTTAAAATATAAAAGAAGAAAAAGGACTTTTTTTTATATTTTTCTCCTAACCTTTTTTTTTTTCTTTTTTTCTTTTGCTTTAATTTTAGAAAATCAAACCAGTATGAGTTTAGGAAACATATACAATTATCCAAGCTCAAAAATGGATTTCAAGTCACCCCAAGACCCAAACCCACCGACCCAACAAAAACCCATTTTGTAAGATATACTTCAACGTCAAGTCACATAACAGCTGGCTTGTGTGTCCGTCACTCCTCTCCCCTAGTTTACAGACTTAAAACCTATTCCAAATTGGAAACAAAATCTTACACTATCTAAAACTCTACTATTTCCTAAAACCCTAAGACCGAGTCCTATAAATACATACATAGCTTTAAGAAACATTCACATCAATATTTTTTCATGAACACAAACAACAAACAATCTTGTGAAGATGGTGTCGATGAAGAGGAAGCACGAGGAGTTCAAAATCAAGAAAAGTGTCTATGGCGATGGAAACAAGTGGTTCAGAGGGTCCATCATCGGAAAATCAAGCAGCGGACCGGTTTATTTGGCGACTTTGAAGAAACCCAAATGGAGACTCACCCACTTGCCTGTACTAATGGCTGTGAAGTCCGCAGAGGTTTCTGATTCGGCTTTGCTTCAGAGGGAAGCAATTGTTCTTAGCAACCTCCATGATTGTCCCTATATCTATCGGTGCTTTGGGGAAGAGATTATGACCGGTGATCGCAATCGCATCATTTATAACCTTCTCTTGGAGTATGGCTCTGGTGGAACCCTAGCTGATTTGATTAAGAAAAGTGGCGGCGAAGGGTTGCCTGAATCTGATGTTAGGCGCTATACAAGGCATATTCTTGAAGGTCTTGATTGTGTTCATAGCTGTGGGTATGTTCACCGTGCTCTAAAGCCTGAGAATATCATAATTGTTCCTATCATTAATGGCACTGGCACTGAATATGTTGCAAAGATTGGTGATTTTGGGTTGGCAAAGAGAGCAAAACAGATGAAGAAGATGATGACGATGTCAAAGTCTTGTAAATTGAGAGGAAGTCTCGG